GTAGCTTACTGAGAGATTTTCTCACGAATATTGATAGCATAATTCTTAAAAATCCAGTTCCAGAACTAGCCTTTAGTTTTTTAGTCCATTTATAATTAATGTAACTACCATAGATTTATTTGTTTTATTTTAGAGGAATGTATTTTTAACCTCTAAAATTTCCTTCTATTGTCTTGTAATTCATGAATTATTTTACCATTTAAAAATAATGGTTACACTAGAAATTGTAGCATGTAAGTATTAATTATTAAAGTCTAATTTATTTTAGCTATCTTACTACTTCCCCAAAACGTTAAGAGAGCTTAATCACTTTAACCCCCTCAATCTCTTCATTCTGGTATTTGCATTATTTTTGCCCCCTATTTTAAACTTTACATGATATTATTATTTCTGTTCACTTTTTCCATCAACATACAACACTTTTCATTATTGTTTACTTCTGTATTTTAAATGCATCTCTCCTTGCAATAAATTATCTCATATTTACTTATTTAAAAACATATTTATTTTGCTTTTATCTTAAAGGTTATTTTGTTAGATAAAGAGTTCTAGAGTGGCAGCTCCTTTCAGCATTTTAAAGTTGTGACTCTATGGTTTTTGTGGTTCCACAATTTCTTTTCTTTTTTTTTTTTTTGAGACAGAGTTTTGCTCTTGTTACCCATGCTGGAGTGCAATGGTGCGATCTCGGCTCACCACAACCTCTGCCTCCTGGGTTCAGGCAATTCTCCTGCCTCAGCCTCCTGAGTAGTAGCTGGGATTACAGGCACACACCACCATGCCCAGCTAATTTTTTGTATTTTTAGTAGAGACGGGGTTTCACCATGTTGACCAGGATGGTCTTGATCTCTTGACCTTGTGATCCACCCGCCTCACAAAGTGCTGGGATTACAGGCGTGAGCCACTGTGCATGGTGGTTCCATAATTTCATTAAAAAAAGCTGTCCAACTGTTTTTGTTTTAATGGTAGTGTTTGTCTCTATTTTTAAGATTTTGTTTTATTTTTTCAATTCTACTTTGATGTGCCTAGGCATTGTTATTTTTTAAAACATTTATCTTGACTAGGGTTAATAACAGTTCATATATCTGTAGTTCAATGGCTTTCATCAATTTTAGAAAAATCTCAGCTGGTATCTCCCCAAATATGGATATTGCTCACTACCTCTCTGTCGTACCTCTTGGACCTCAATTAAAAATATGTTAGGCCCTTTTACTACGTCCCATGTATCTTTAGGCTTTTTTCTTATTTTCTGTGCTTTTTATTTAGGCACATAGACCAATGGAAAAGAATAGAGAACCCAAAAATAAACCCAAATACTTACAGCCAACTAATCTTCAACAAAGCAAACAAAAACATAAAGTGGGGAAAGGACACCCTTTTCAATAAATGGTGCTGGCCTAATTGGCTAGCCACATGTAGGAGAATGAAACTGGATCCTCACCTCTCACCTTAACAAAAATCAACTCAAGATGGATTAACAACTTAAACTTAAGACCTGGAACTGTAAAAATTCTAGAAGATAACATTGGAAAAACCCTTTAAGACATTTGGTTTAGGTAAGGATTTTATGACCAAGAACCCAAAAGCAAATGCAATAAAAACAAAGATAAATAGCGGGGACCTAATTAAACTAAAGAACTTTTGCATGGCAAAAGGAACAGTCAGCAGAGTAAACAGCCAACCCAACAGAGTGGGAGAAAATCTTCACAATCTGTATATCTGACAAAGGACTAACATGCACACTCTACGATGAACTCAAATCAGTAGGAATAAAACAAACAATCCCATCAAAAAGTGGGTTAAGGACATGAATAGACAATTCTCAAAAGAAGACACACAAATGGCCAACAAACATGAAAAAATGCTCAGCATCACTAATGATCAGGGAAATGCAAATCAAAACCACAATGTGATACCACCTTACTCCTGTAAGAATGGCACTGGAACAGAGGTGTGTCTATCTTACTTGGTTACATGAGTAAGTTCTTTAGTGGTGATCTGTGAGATTTTGGTGCTCCTACCACCCAAGCAGTATACATTGCACCATATTTGTAATCTATCCCTCACCACCCTCCCACTCTTCCCCAGCCCCAAAGTCCATTGTATCATTCTTATGCCTTTTTGCCCTCATAGCTTAACTCCCACATATCAGTGAGAACATCATAGATGTTTGTTTTTTCATTCCTCAGTTACTTCACTTAGAAGAATAATCTCCATTCTCACCAAGGTCACTGCAAATGCTGTTAATTCTTTCCTTTTTCATGGCTGTGTAGTATTCCATCGTGTGTGTGTGTGTGTGTGTGTGTGTGTGTGTGTGTGTGTAAATATACATACCACAGTTTATATATATGTATACCGCAGTTTCTTTATATATATGTATATATATTTCTTTATATATAAATGTGTGTATATATACACATATATATACCACAGTTTCTTTATCCACTCATTTATTGATGAACATTTGGGTTGATTCCACAATTTTGTGATTGTGAATTGTGTTGCTATAAACATATGTGTGCAAGTATCTTTCTCAAATAATTACATCTTTTCCTCTGAGTAGATACCCAGTCATAGGATTTTTGGATCAAATGGTAATTCTAGTTTTAGTTCTTTAAAAATTTCCTCACTCTTCGCTTCGTTTTTCACAGTGGCTGTACTAGTTTTCATTCCCACCAGCAATGTAGACGTGTTCCCTGTTTGCTGCATCCATGCCAACATCTGCTGGTTTTTGATTTTTTAAAAATTATGAGACTATGCCATAGTGACAAATGAAAACCTTAGGTTAATAAAATAAAAACATTGAATACTCAAATTAAAAATACAGTCAATTGATTTAAAAGCTTCTGTACTATAGCAGTGGAGAAGATTACTGACCAGGAAGTCAGGCCAATAAATATTTGGTCCTGGGCCTCTTTCTACTTTCAATTTCTACTTTTTCTCTTAACCATGCAGGGCCATGGCTTTAAATACCATCTATACCTCTCATTCTTTTCTCTTCCCAAAACTCAGGGCTTATGTGCTGTCACTCCATGGATGGATGACATACAACTCAAAGTTAATCTTGCTCAAACAGAATTCTGATACTCCTGAATAGGGGCCCTTGAATATCTATTCTAATGTAGCAATCCAACAGTTACTAACATATTATTCTATCCCTATTTTACCATAGTAGTTGCTGGCGCCTGATATTTTGTTATGTTTACTTTTTACATTACAACTTCTCCCATTAGAATATAAGTTGCCCTGGAACAGAGGCGTGTCTGTCTTACTTGCTACTGTATGACAAGTACTTATATCTTAGCCGAGAACAGAGTAACAGATATGAGTGACTTGTGGAAGGAAGGTGAGAAGATACTCATAGCTTGACTGTACCTCTTTTTGCTTAGAGGAATTGTGACTGAGAAGGTTGTAGGTGGGTTGGGATGGAGACAGCTGGTAGGTTGGGAGGTAACGTTTCATCCTCTTCTTTGCTATCTATAAGCCTACGTAGCAAGTCAAGCCTTCATCACAGGGATGCCACTCATATTTTCCTCATTAACACCATACTTAAACTTATCCAATTTACTAGCAATCCTATCAACTCTGGCTCCACAATAATTGATGGAATATCTATTCATTTCTTTCCATCTTCTCAGCTGTTGTATTAATCCAAGCCTCTGTCCTCTTTTGTTCACCAACTGTAATAGCCTCCTATTGGTATTTTTGTCTCTTACTCTTGCTTCCCTACAATTTACCTCCACACAGCAACTGGATAGCTCAAAAACAAAAATATGTCCTTGACCTACTTTAAACCTGCAAAGGTTTCCTTTTACACTGAAAATAAAGTCAAGTTCTTCATCATGGCATTTAAGGCCATACATGGCCTGGCCCCCTACCTTCCATATTGACTGTGGCTTCATCATTCTTCCTTTTGCAAACTAAGCTCTAGCCACACTGCTCTGCTTTCTTTTATGCTAACATAGTAAGCTCATTACTGCTTAAGGTCCCTTTTTCTTGTGATTCCCTCTGTCTAGAAGATCCTCTCCCTTTGTTTTTTCATGGCTGATGACCTTACATCCTTCAAATCTTAGCTTCCTGGACCACTCTATTTAATGGCCACTCAATCTTTCATTATCACATTGTCCTGTATTATTTTCTTCACAATTTTGATAGCTAACCAAAGTTATTTATTTAAAATGTTTTTCCTTTCACTGTCTGCTTTATTCATTACCATTTTGCCAGCATCTAAACTGATAGTGACTCATAGTAAAATAATGACTCATAGTATGTCCTTATTAATTATCTGTGAAATATCGCAGTGAATGACAATGAAAGGAATATACTCTCAAGCTCTTATACCACTGCTCTTCTGAATGTCATTTCTCTGGAATGAGTCCATGTTTATTATTTTTTTACTTAAAAGCAAAATTTAAAATCCATAATTTTTCCTTTGTCTATACCCTCTCTCTTTTTATAGAACTATTACATAATTATTGTAATAATAATGACTGTATATGTTCAGTTGATCCTTTATTTCTGTTAGACAATGTGCTAGATTATCTCACTTATTTATCACATCAATCCTCTAAATTAGATCCTATTATAATGTATAATTTAAAAATAAGATGTATGAGGTTTGGAATGTTTCCATTCCTTTCTTAAGACCACAAAGCTAACCAGTATTTCATTTTACTATCTCAAGTGAACTTCAGGAACAAAGAAACCAGGTAATGATAAGAAAGACTTTGGATGACTGATGACTGAAACTTTTTTTTAAACAATCCTTTTGGTAATTAGTGATGGTGGTAGAAGGAAGGAGTTATGGGGGGAAGGAAGAGGAAGGGAGAGATAACACTTTGTACTATGACTGCCAGATAAAACTTTGGTAACAAACTCTGAACTCAGCTCATTTAACATCATTCTCAGAAGGAAGGTGCATTAGTTCTTCCTTACACTGCTATGATATAAAGAACTACCTGAGACTGGGTAATTTATAAAGAAAAGAGGTTTAATTGACTCACAGTTTTGCATGTCTGGGCAGGCCTCAGGAAACTTACAATCATGGCAGAAGGCGAAGGGGAAGCAAGGCACATCTTACATGGTAGCAGGAGAGAAAGAGAGAGAGTGAGGGGGGAAGGTTCCACACTTTTAAACCATTAGATATCATGAGAACTCTATTACAAGTACAGCAAGGGGGAAGGCCTCCCCCATGATCCACTCACTTCCCCCCAGGACTCTTCTTCAACATGTGGGGATTACAATTTGAAATGAGATTTGGGTGGGGACACAGAGCCAAACCATATCAGAAGGACAAACCAAAGTCAGGTCATTCTCTCTGAATTCCTTTGTCTTCTGTTAGAACAACTCTCTAAAGTAGCCTCTCAAGTTTTTGAGTTCAGGAAAATCAGAAAGACTGACTTTGTTTGACCATTTAGTCTTGGGGCTTAGCTTGACCCATTTATTCTGTTATCCAAGAAACAAAATTACATGCAAAGTAGAAAGCGATTTACACTGCCAAGAAGTTTAGTTTCAAATAGAAAAGAATGGAAAGAGAAAAATAGTTAAGAAAAATCTTAGGAAGATCAAAAACCTCAAAGACCAAGAGTCTGTCTTTATATAACTGTAAGTATCTTGATGAAAAATAAAGGGAAAAAACAGCTTGGATGTCTAGATAACTGATTAAAATTTTAATTTTCTACCTGGTTACTTGGTACTATAAAAATATAATCATGCTAAATCACTTCACAAAGTTTTGTAATAATTCTTTCTTTTTCTCAATGAATTTTCTTATAATTTCAGTGTTCTATATTAATATTTTGTGGTTTAAAATGCAATGATTTTTTTAATTTCCAACTTGTATTTTAAGTTCAGGGATACATGTGCAGGATGTGCAGTTTGTTACATAGATAAACATGTGCCATGGTGGTTTGCTGCATAGATCATCTCATCACCCAGAACCCAAGCCAAGCATCCATTAGCTATTCTTCCTGATGCTCTCCGTCCTCTCACCCTCCACTCTCCCCAGTGTGTGTTGCTCCCCATGTGTCCATGTGTTCTCAGCATTGAGCTCCCACTTATAAGAGATAACATGCAATATTTGCTTTTGTTACTGTGTTAGTTTGCTAAGGATAATGGCCACCAGCTTCATCCATGTCCCTGAAAGAGGACATGATCTTATTCCTTTTTATGGCTGCATAGCATTCCGTAGTGTATATGTGCCACATTTTCTTTATCCAGTCTATCATCAATGGGCATTTAGATTGATTCCATGTCTTTGCTTTCCATTACAGAACTATTTCCATAGTTCTGTAATGAACATATACATGCATGTATCTTTATAATAGAACAATTTATATTCATTTGGGTATACCCAGTAACAGGATTGCTGAGTCAAATGGTATTTCTGCTTCTAAGTCTTTGAGGAATTGCCACACTGTCTTCCACAATGGTTGAATTGGTTTACATTCCCTCCAACAGGGTGAAAGCGTTTTTCTCCACAACTTCACCAGCATCTGTTGTTTTTATGACTTTTTAATAGTAGCCATTCTGACTGGTATGAGATGGTATTTTATTGTGGTTTTGATTAAATATGGTTATTTTTATGCATTTGGAGAATTAACCCTCCCCTGGAAATCCATTGAATCATAGCATTAAGAAGACTTTTTGTGAATTTTAGTAATGGCTTAATTTCTGCCTAGATTAGCCAGTAGTAGATGCAATGGAGAGGAAATATGAAAAAGAAAATCAACAAATTCTATTAAGCAATTGAAATGTGTCAGAAATTTTGCTAACCACTCTGTGAATTAACTCATTTAATTCCACATTAACCCTATGCAGTATTATTATGAGTCAAGTTTTTTGATGAGCAAATCATATACCAGAGAGGTTAAGTAACTTTGCCCAAGTTAGCATGCAGTAGAGAAGGGGGAACCCAGGCAGTCTAACTGGAGAGCTTAACCTTTCCAGCATACAACTCTCGAAGGAATCTACAGTTGCTTCAGAAAAAAAAAAAAATCATATGTTCCCAAGATAGTCAAATCTCAGCAAGAAAGAATCTATACCACAGGCTTATTTAGGTAACCAGTGTTAAAATCAGAAAGGGCTAAAGACAGAGTGACATCTGACATTATCATCCAAGAAAAACTTAGCTACATGTGAGTAAATTATTAGACAAAAAAAAAGTAGGCTGGGAACCTATCCTTGAATCTCTGACAGAAAGAAAGGTGTGTGTGTGTGTACATATATGTGTATGTACATATATGTATGTAATTATAAATATACACATGTATAAATATATACATAAATATATTTATGTATTCAGGTTCTTTGTTCCGTAGCATTCATTTTGGTGCTGAATGAGAGTTTTACATTGGGGGTATGTGTGTGTACATGCATGTGTTGAGTGAGTGAGAAACTGTTGTATATCATGGGATATGTATGTATGCCATCTGTAGAATGGCATAGAATAGTACTGAAAACCACCAATACCTTAAGAGTGGTGTGAGAAGGGATGAGTCAGACCAGGAACAGCATTTCCTGACCACTCATAGGCACATTGCCAGAAGGTTTTATTTATTCTCTAGGTTCTAGGCTTCAGATTCATAAGCACAGATAATATTGGTTTTTATAAGAATTAGAGTGATTAACTACAAGACTGTACTCTCCAGGGACTCTGTTTTATTTACCTTTGTTTATCAGCATCTAATACTCTGCCTGGCATAAAGTCAAGACCTAATGAAGATTTGTTGAGGGAATGAGTGAGTAATAAATTTATGTAATGTTTTGTATTTATGTATCGGTTCTTCTTGGAGAATCATTGCCCTCCTGGGTCACTGAGAAGCTGGCACTCAGCCTGTGTTAAAGGATCCTTTTAGAACCAAGGCTCTTTGACTCATTAGCAGACCCATTTCCTGGTATATGTTTTAGGGGTGTGTAGAGACATAAATCTAGTAAACAAGAATTTCTTGAGCTCTATTATTTGAACACTATCAGAGGGAACTGGGGATGGTTCATTGAACAAACAAGCCAAATCCTTGTTCTCATAAAGCTTAATTCTTACAAGTTAAGCAACAAAATAAGTAAATGCATAACATGAATGGGTGATAGAAAGCTGTGAAAAAAATAGGGAAAGGAGGACAAGTTTGATGGAGGAATACTATATAGTGTCCCCTGGGGACAGAATTCTCCAGGGCCTAGAATGAATTGAATGAGAATTTTAAGTGACATCGTTAAATTACATTAAACACTTCCTTTATTAAATTACATCGATAACTCTCCAAAGATTTCAATGGCACTCAAATCATAAAATTCTTGGGAAACTGTTTTCTAGTTTGTTTAGAATTCTGTTCAGTGAGTGGCTGGTGGGATAAAAGGGTGGCAACAATGATCAAGAAAATAAACTTCTAGAGGAAACAAGGAAGGGATTATAACAGCCAGCATACTTTGGGTACTTTCCCTAGGCTGGTAAACACTTTATGTTCATTACCCCAGTTTATCACCAAATGATTTCTGTGCAATAGGGCTATTCTTATCTCCTTTTTATGGCAAACAAGGCACAGTAAGATTCTGTAAATTGCTCAATGTCACTTAGCTAGAAATGAACCTAGGTGGTCTGATTTAGGGCCAAATTATGCCCTTGCAGAATTAAGTAAACTGCCTCCAGAAGCCAAGTTTCTTCACTACTAAGATACACTGCTTCTTTTAAAAGTATAGTGAACGAGAAGCGGTTAAGTATTTGAGATTATTTATTTTTTTAAACAAAGCTACAACTCCCACCATGAAAAGACACAGTACTCCACAATGACCCTCCTACTTTTTCAATATGACATCGAGTTGATTCCAGCCTTTGTCCAGTCATTTGTGCTTACAGGTTCCTTCACTTGGAATGCTCTCCACTGGGATCTTCACATTGCTGACCCTTTCCCATCAGTCAAGCCTCAGCTCAAAAGCACCTCTTCCAAGATGCCTTCCCTGTCTGCCCAATTCCTGGTAGCCCTCAGTCCCTAATCATCATTTATCCTTGTTTTAATGTTCTTCCCAGCTCTTACCACTATTTTAAAAGTTACTGATGTTTTTTACCCCCTACTAATATGCAAGTGTCAGGAGGTTGGTGGCAGTATTCATTGCAATTGGTCCAGAGCCTGACCTCTGCCTATACATCACAGAGGCTTCAAAAACACTGAAAAAACTAATGCCGTCCCTTGGGTCTGAAGACCCAGGTAGATCCCAGGGGGCTCTACTTCTGTGGAGGATCATGCATCTGCCCACTATTCTGTGAAGAATTAGAGCGCAAGATGAGAAAAGAGAGATCTTCAACTGAGGCCCGAGAAATGCTTACCAGTAAGAACCCAAATGAGCCACGATTGCTCAGAAACCTATCAAGGGCTGGGTGTGGTAGCTTATGCCTGTAATTCCAGCACTTTGGGAGGCCAAGGTAGGTGGATCACAAGGTCAGGAGTTCAAGACCAGCCTAGCCAAGATGGTGAAACTCTGTCTCTACTAAAAAAAAAAAAAAAAATACAAAAACTACCCAGGCATGGTGGCAAACAGCTATAATCCCAGCTACTAGGGAGGCTGAGGCAGGAGAGTCCCTTGAACTTCAGTGGCAGAGGTTGCCGTGAGCTGAGATCACACCACTGTACTCCAGCCTGGGTGACAGAGTAACACTCTGTCTCAAAAAAAAAAAGCAAACCTACCAAGAAGACCATTTACGAAGCCTACTTGCAGGCAGACCAATTTGGAGGCAATTTCTGCAGTTAAGTATATGCAAATTCATCATTTCAATTTTATCCAAATCTTGTTCATGTCTTGTTTGTAGTTCCCACCTTAATTTGGATCTAATGCTTGTTATGATTAATCAACCATGTTTTCCCCCAGAATGTAAGTTGAGAACAGAAATCTGTCTTTTACAGCACTGTGTACTTAGTGTCTAGAAGCATGCTCAACACATAGTAAGTTCTCAAGCCATAATTAATAAAGGGAGCAACAAGTGGTCCAACACTAAATTTCTTCTCTAGACAAAGGCAGGTGGAAGAGCAGAATGTAACATTTGAGTCCCTGCTAATCCCCAGGCACTGTTTCAGATGCTTTCATG